AGCTACACAGAGAAACCCTGTCTCGAAAAACCAAAAAAAAAAAAACAAAAAAACAGGAGTATATGCAACAATATCACAATAAGACTATAAAACAGGTATTACTGAAGAAAACTTAATTAGAATATATAACATGTTCAGGGACCAGAAGTCTTCAACTTTATTAAGATGTCAATTTTCCTCATATATGATCTAGAGATTCAATCTCATTGAAAGTCTTATAGGCCTTTGTTCTTTTATGGAAGTTGAAAAGATGGTTCTAATGTGTATCTTTGGCACAATGGTAAACCAGATGAAGTAGCCCACATAGAGCTGTAGCCTTGCTGCAAAGAATCCCAGTCACCAAGTAGTCAACCTATTGTTGCTGTTGTTTCCAACTCCCTGCCAGAGGCACGTGTAGATCTTCTCTGAAGGAATGTCACACCAAAGACCTTAAATGACCTCGATAGTTTTCACATATAATGTCTAACATAGAATAAAGAAATGACCAGGCATGGGGGCGCATGCCTTTAATCCCAGCACTTGGGAGGCAGAAGCAGGTGGATCTCTGTGAATTCAAGGTCAGCCTGGTTTACATAGTGAGCCCCTGTCTAAACTAAATACATAAATAAAATGGTTATCTGAGTGCTCAGGTGACCTGATCAAAACTGAGTACATCTATACAGAACAACAACAGCAAGGCCATCTTAAGATCCTTAGGGACTTTTAAGATACATTGATCAGTCAAAATGTTCTTGAAAAAGAACACTGGAGAACTCTAACTATAAAAGTACAATATTAAAATATAGTGACAGGGGCTGGCAGGATGGCTCGCTGGGTAAGGGTGTGTTCCACCAGGCAAGGTAGCCTGAGTTTGATTCCTGGATCCCACAGGGTGGAGAGAGCCAAGTCCTGCCAAGTTGCCCTCTGACCTCCATACATGCCATAGCATGCACACCTCCTCCCATATAAATCAAGACGAGTTAAAAAGTTCAATTGTGGCTGGGCGGTGGTGGCGCACGCCTTTAATCCCAGCACTCGGGAGGCAGAGCCAGGCGGATCTCTGTGAGTTCGAGGCCAGCCTGGACTACCAAGTGAGTTCCAGGAAAAGGCGCAAAGCTACACAGAGAAACCCTGTCTCGAAAAACCAAAAAAAAAAAAAAAAAAAAAAGTTCAATTGTGATAACAATGTAAATGCAGACTATGGACCCAACAGAGCAGAACTCCAGAGCCCAGAAACAAGCCCTCACACATGGTCAAGTCACCAAGACCATGCAAGGAAGGAAAGGCGGCCTTTCACCGCATGAAGCTAGACAAACCGCCCAGGTACATAAAAACAAAACAAACAACAAAACCAAAAAACTTCACTCATACCAAACACAAAAATTAATGTAAGATAGATCAAAGACCCAAACATAAGATGTAAACATTTCAGAAGGAAGCAAGGTGAAAGCTTCGGGGGTCTGGCAATGAATCCTCAGATATGGCAATCAAAGAAAAAAACACTAAGCGGTGACTTAATAAAAAATTAAAACTTAGCAGATGTCAGCCCTCACGCTAGTGACGCTGGTATGATGGAGCAAAGGCAGGAGCCCCTCTACCTGTTTAGACAGGCTGTAGAAGGCTTCACAGAGAGCAGGCAAAGCCATTTACCTCACGGACAGAGGAGAACAGCATCTCAGGCAGGGGAAGCAGCATGGAGGTAGGCTCAGCACACGTGTTGTACATCCTAATTAATACACATAGTTCAAGGTCCTAGAACTAAGGCAAGTACGAAGCTGGGCATGGCAACACCACATCCCTGGAGTCCCCGCCAGCCTGGGTTACATAAGAGTTCCAGGCCAGCCTGGGTTACATAAGAGTTCCAGGCCAGCCGGGGCCAGTGTGAGATCTTGCTACAAAACAAAACAAAACACACTGAAAAGATCAGAAGGCATCTTTAGAGCACAGTAGAAACCATAAGGGAAGATGGTTAAAAACTGATTTAAAAATTCAGTGATAAAACCAGAAAAGCAAAATTTGATTAACTCTTATTAAAAGAAAAACATTTTAGACATTAAAAACATCCAGAATATTTTTAAAGCTTGCTTTGTATATTTACAAATGCACCTAATAAAATTAGGTGAAAATTCTACTAGTCAAATACTCAAGGGACAACTGGCTTAGCCACTCTAATGTCAATGAAATAGGTGTGTGACAATAGAAAGCATTACTGGGGACAAAGAAGACAACTATCACACAGTGGTAAGAGGGATTTTTTACCAGAAAACAATCCATTATATATTTACATGGACTTAATAATGAGACTTCAAAATATTTTAAGCAAAAATTAGCAGAAACCACATTGAAGACTCAGAATCACAGAAGGAACTTTTGGCATAGCTCTTAAGTTATTGACAAACCAAACAGGTAAGAACACAGGAAGGATACCAGGGAAACAAAAAGCTTGGACTAATGGGCATATCCAACCCTGCACCCTTCACTTAGAATCCACACCCTCCTCTAGCACAGGTTGACCACTTCCAATTCTGTCCAAGAACCAGGCTTCAAAGCCAATCTTAACAAACACCAAAGATTTTTTGTTTTTTAAGACAGAGTCTCACATTGTCTCCCAGGCTGCCCATGAACTTGCCTCACTCCTACGGTCTCCAGCACCCTGGGTTATGAGAATAGACATGTGAGAACCATGCCCAAGAAACACTGAAGAATTAGTGTCAGTTACTCAATTAAAATGTTGGCTTAAAATTATGTAAAAGACTAACTAGATAAACTATATAAAGAAAACCAGAGTATGTTCTGAGAAAGCTCAATGAAGAAAAAAAGTACAGACAGGAGGGGAAAATGCCACTTACTGTATGCATGGAGAGATTGTATCAGATCTGTAAAGATATTCAGACATCACCTGCCATGGTGGTATTTCTTTTCTTTTTCTCCTTTCCTTTTTTTTCTATCCTAATTCATTTACCTATTTTACTAAAGAATACTGATCACTGATTCAGACATAAAATTATTTCTAAAACTTCACCATGGATACTGGATCATTCAGTCAATACAAGACATGTCTACAGGTGGTGAGATAGAATGGAGCTCTTTATATTCCAATAAGAGTGCTGAATATAGAGACGACCCAAAATATAAAGTGATAACTTTCACACATTTCTGTAGAAGTCCACAGGGAGAAGAAGTCAGCTCTGATTTGTGACAGGCTGAAGGATTAGGGAGAAAGTAGCCTTGAAATATGAGTAGGTTTTGAATGTGGCTACATAGCAACAAGAGGCAGAATTGTTGAAAATTCAAGGTAAGCAACATAATCAAGGTATATCTAACACAAACGGTGTTTCTAGACCAAGCACTGACCACGCATGAAGCGGAGGCCACAAAGGGAGGTTTGGTACCAAATTGTAAAAGGCTCTGAAGCTAAACAAAATGGTAAGCTGATGTGTAGGCGCAGGGTCTGTGGCTCAAGTTTTCTTGATTTATCTGGACAGTGATGTGAACAGGACTCCAGGAGTTAAGTTTTCAGACTGTTTCTGTTGGAAGCCTGGGGTCAGGAAGGTCTGAGCTAGTAGGCCAATAGTAAAAACAGACAGGACTGGAGAGATTAAGGAGGCAAGATTAAGGAGATTAAAGAAGCAAAGAAGAAATCTGAATTGACAACTGGCTGAACCAGAAATACCAGTCAGAAGACAGTCTGTGTGTCTTGATGTTAAGATGACTGGAATACAGGAAATAGTATCAAAGGGATGGAAATGAATGTATCACCCTCAGATATTGGTATTGCAATCTATAAATGAGAACTACATTAGAAATGTAGTCCTAAGGTCCTTGGAAAACAATTATTTTCTTATAAAATAATACATGATTTAAAATAAGTCTGTCTTTCAACTCCCCTGAACCTTCAGACACCCTATTCCTTGACTCTCAGTCTTCCTAGCCCTCCCATCTCATCCTGCCTGATCTCTCTTCCTCCAGGGTGTTGAACAACCTTGGTTACATGGTTCATTCCCTGCCAGACAGGACTAACCCCACTAACCTCTTATAGCTATACAACATGCTGGCCAGCCTTCAAAGTCTTCATTCTCTACCTGTCTCAAACTCAGAACATGGCATCGACTACTATTAATTGCTGTTCAAAATTGCAAATCAGGAAGAAACCAGCAACATTCTTAAATGTAGTATTTTACCAGAAAAACTGCCTGTTCTCATTCATTGAGGGTAACTTTTTGGAAATGTACTAAAAACACATTTATCTAAGTAAAAAAACTGCAGGCAACCAAGCTTCCCTCCGATTTTAATCAATCTCCAAATTCTGGTGTTCTTAGTACTGTCTTTTGTTATTTTGAGACAGGCTCTCACTATAGTAGCCCAGGATGGTTTGGAACTCCTAGAGATCTGCCTGCCTCAACCTCCTAGTGCTGGTATTAAAGGTGTGGCCACCACGTCTGGCTTTAGTGCTTCTTTTAATTTATAGTGCAGACAGCTCAACAGTTCAAATGTTCTGACCACAATGTCGTTAAGGTACACATTAAAGGATTCTAACAAAGAAAAAAAAGTAACAATGGAAAAATTTAAACTCAGAACTGAACAATTAGAATTTGGAGGATGAACTACAATGTCTTTTAAATCTCTTAAAACAGTAGTTAAAGACCAGTTAGTTATCTTGTATTTATATATTCTAAAATTAAAGTAAAACGTCTTGTTTGGGCTTTTCATACTAGTGATTTCTCATGATGTTTTGCTAGCAATGTTGAACGGACCACTTTCCCTAAACTGCTACAATTATGAAGGCTCTCTCCAGCATGTTCTTTATAATCTGTCTAGGCCAATAACAACCACGCCAGTTTTGAAAATGAACACCACACTGAGACTTGGTTTTGTTTTCTTCCAGAATCTAAATGTCCTACACAAAGAGAACAGAGCATTCCCACTCCTTTCATCTTATACTTTATGCCTTTTGAAATCTCTTCTCAAGTCATCAAGCGATGAGAACTGCAATCCCCTCTCCCCCAGTCCATTTCACTCACCTACAGAATGGGCTGGGAATAGTAGGTATCACATAACAAATCCCCCCATTCAGGCAAAATGACCTGAGACTGGGGCCACAGGGCTCCTCGTGATCTACAACACACATGCATATGAAATAGAGAAAGCTGGTTAACCTCTTCTGATGCCGCCAGGTACTGGAATGTCTCATCTAAGAACGAATCAGCATTTATAAGAGAATGAAATTGTTCTCGAAGTGAAACAATCTTACTCCTATTTCATAGGCAAGGGTGGCTATCCCTTTGAAAGAAAAATCATTCTGTGCTAAGGGTATGGCTGTTGGCCATAATACATTCAGAAGCTCTATAACAGAAATAAGAGGTCTTCAGTTGGATTACAACAGAGTGGTGAGGGACTTGCTACAGAGTGGGCCTGCCCCTCATGCAGTCTGGAGAGTTTGTGTGATGTAGACACTTCCTGAACAAAGCTGTATTGAGATTCTTACACTACTTTTTATGTCTCAAATATATTTTAAAATTTCTGAAATTGTAGTGGGAAAAGATTTAGATAATTGAAATAGATTCCGATTTCTAAACAACCTTTACATATCAATGTCAAAACCCAAAGGAAATATAATCAAACAAGGTTTGATTTGCAAGGGGTTTTCAGTTATAGCTTGAAGCTGTGAAGACTGGGGTCTTGAGGAAGACTGCAAACATAACCTGCTGCTTAGCAACAGCCTCCATGTCTAGAGCACCAAGGAAAGGAACCACGTCTTCTCTCTTGCTTTCCTCTTTCCCTCCTTTTCTCCAGCTTCACTTTCACCTTTGACCTTTCTGTAAGCAGTTGTCATCAACTGCTGTTTAGATGGGAAAATTGATAACTTCTCCTTAAAGAAACCCTCACACTGCTTTAAGATTGCATGTTGCTAGTTCCTGACTGTTTCTGTCCAACACATGGCCTAGAATCGTCTAATGTGAAGAAGAAAATGGCGTTACTTCCATTTGGCATTCAATTTGGAATTAAAAAATATGTTAGTATATTGACCTCTGAAATACTGATACCTGTTAAGACATAATTGTAAAGAGCTCGAAATCTACAGTCTGAATTTGAAAAACTTAAATTTTCCTTTTACTTTAGAAACGAGAAAAAAAAATCTGTTCAACTTCACATGGCAACTATGAAAGCATATTTTTAAAAGTATAAAAATGCAAATAAGGGAAAAACAGATCTACAAAGACTTTAAGTGTTTAAAAAGAAAGTATTCTGGCCCAAACTAGTTTTTTTAGACTCCCCTTTTATTTCTTATACAATGCCATGTTTCTTAATAATCTAACTTCTAACATACAATATTTTAGGAGTGACTTGGCTAACAAATAAAAAGCCAATTATTATTCCATCAGAATCAAGAAAGGCAACATATTTTAAAATTAAGGATGGAATGTGACTGTCACAATTGGAATCAATGTCTTTGATTTTAACTGCTTTACAAGATACCTCTCAGTAACACCTGGTTGGTTTTTTTTTTTTTTTTTTTTGGTTTTTCGAGACAGGGTTTCTCTGTGTAGCTTTGCGCCTTTCCTGGAACTCGCTTTGGAGACCAGGCTGGCCTCGAACTCACAGAGATCCACCTGGCTCTGCCTCCCGAGTGCTGGGATTAAAGGCGTGCGCCACCATCGCCCGGCAACACCTGGTTTTTTATCAGTAAAGGAAACTCACCTGACCTGAATTACTACCTTTGAATCTATTTTCATTCTGATTTCATTCATTTAGTATTTGAGAAGTTGATACCAGATAGAAAGCTAGAATCTTTCACTTTGTAAAAACAACAATAACAACAAAAGCAAACAATAAAACATAAAAGTAAAATAGCTTTATGTTATATAGTTTTAAAATTATTTAATGTTTATGGAAGGCTTTGCATGGGGGACAATATAGCTTTATATTAATAAACATTTGCCATTTTATTGCTAAATAAAACTCACATATAGACAAAAAGTATGAACTTACAAGAAATTACCTGTTGGCATCTTAATTTTTAAATAGTTTCATTCTTGGTGAAAGATTAAGGTTGAAAGACAGCACCTAAAATAATTTAAAATTTATATTTTAGAGGAAATTATCCTGTTTTGAGGGTGTTATAAAGTGTCAAATGTTCAATCAGCAAAACTTTAAAATGTTGAAAAGAAAACGTGTACGACAGAATTTGAGCATCTTAGATAAACATCTAACGCTGAAACGTGAACAGAGGAAAAACGATCAATGTTAAGAAGGCTAGTTTTGGATAAGGCTTCCGTGTCGTCGAACATGCATGAAGATGTGCAGCAGCACGTTCAACTGAGTCATCTCAAGAGACATTTGTGCTTTTCCACGATGCCTCTCAGAAAGCCAGCTTCTCGGAAGAACCCATAACCTCACAGTTTTTCAACTTGCTGAAAACGGTCAGCCTATAGAAAAATCTCAAAGAGCATTTACAATTCTTGCACTTCTGTTACAACTTGAAAACTTTTATAAGAGCACATCCACGCTCAGCAGAGGTCACACATTCTGCCTGTGAATCAGCTGACAAATGCCTGTCTTTAAAACAGGGTCTGACATTTGGCCAGGCAAGGTAAATAAGGAGACGTGCTCGTGTGTGAAGTTTGCTACCGTAACAGAAACAAAGGCACTCAACAAGAGCTGAGGAGCATCCATACTTACGTGGTGACTGCAAGCTCCTGACCCGGTACCAAGACGGAATCGGAAAGTTTAATCTACTACATCATATAAGAACAGGTGCAATATTAAAGTCTTCTTTTACAGACAATCAGAGAGAGGGCATAGAGAAGGGGAGAGGGAGGGAGAGGGAGGGAGGCAAAGAGGGAGGGACAGAGGAGAGAGAAATAATCAAGAACCAACACATAAACACAGTTAAAGTACATCACTGGCTAATTTTAACTTTTTTTTTCCCCTTCCACACGAACAGGGCTTACCTCAACAAAAATTTATGTTCCCATACAAAAAGTAGATTTTGCTAGACATGCAGTGTTCCACAAGTTTTTGAATAGTGAGGACGTTGGCAGCGGTGACTTGCAGTTTACAACATGTCAAAAATCTGACTTATGTCACTTCAGTGTGGGCGAGGTCAAGGCAGAGCAAGGTGTGCACAGAGGTCAGGAGCAAGCAGCTGAGGGAACCACTCCCACATGTTTCCAAACTGCGAACGGGCAGGGTTTCACTCGGAGGAAGGAGCTGCACTAGGTAGCAGCCCTAAAGCACGCTCCAAGTTTCCAAGTTATGAAATAAGCCACAGTCTTTGGAGTCTTTACTAATCTCTGCATGTCTAACTAACTCACAAGGGTTATGTAAGCTTGTGGAGAAACGGCATTTTGATGTGAAACTAATAGGTGCACCACAGGGTTTAAAAATAATTTCCTTATAAACTATGTAAAATTTATACATAGTGACTTGAACTTACGAAACTGAAGGAAACAGTAGTTGTAACAGAGCTCACACCTGTGGTGCCAACCTGAAATGATGCAACTGAAGGATCTGACGCTACCTGGGAACTGTGACAAAGCCATTTGCGCATGCTGCCACAATCTCCTGGAACTCAGGTGTGCCTCAGTCCTGCTGTGTCTGGGAAATGCTGTCTCCTTGGAATCATCCATTACCTCTGGTTCTTACAATCTCACTGCCTCCTTCTGCATAGATCCTTGAGCCTCACATACACTAAGAAAGGTTGCATTCCGAAAATCGTGTTTTAAAATATTAATCTATAAATCTGTTTAAATGAAGTATGGGTGTTTCCTTCATATAATTATTTAAAGTATACTAAGCATTTGGATGGTTACATTTTTCTAAAATCACAATTCAGACATCATTACTTCATGGGTTTAAAACACAGAAACAAATACATTTGTTCTTTTATATATATATATATATATATATATATATATATGATAAGCTTTTCACTACAGACTTATTTCCGTCACTATATGTTATCTCCCACATTCAAAGGACATTTTTATAGCTATAGTCACTACACATACATGTACATACATACGTCTATATTTACATAAATCATTTTAGCATACAGTATTTAAGGCTGAAAATGAGATGATGAAAAATATCCTTTATTATTTTATTTGAATTAGGAAACTATTATGCTGTCAATAGATTTCATATGTCAATATAATAATTAACATAGGATTGAGCACTAAAGGGTATGTGGGAAATCACGTGACCTTAAACCATTCAAGATGCATTTATTAAGAGGCGTATGACAATTTGTACCGAGTATATTTTATACACTAGAAATTAATAACAAGGAGAGCCATGTGATTCCTTATTTTATTATTTAAGACAGAGTCTTGCTGTGTAGCTCAGGCTTGCCTAAAATTTGTAGTTCTCTTGCCTTAGCCTCCCAAATGTTGGGTTTGCAGATGTGAGCTACATGGATGCATGTGATTCTACATTAGAAAATAAGATTTTCAAGCTAGCATTTCACTGAATGGAAGTCCTGGTATTTAAGAACAATTTCTCCATTTTCCTGTGAACAAGTGTGCTAAGTGGTGACTCTCTTTAACAAATGCCCACCTCCTGTGTTGGTCACAGAATGACAATTATAAAACAAGTTGGCTGGTTCGTTATTGTGGTTTGGTTCTTAAATGCCCCCCTACCCAAAGCTTATGTTTTGGATGGTTTGGTACCTATCTGATGGCACTACTGGGCGGTGGTGGAGCCTTTAGGAGGTGGGACCTAGTGGAGGAAGTTAGGCCATTTGAGATGGACCTTTAGCTGGGACATAGGGACCCTGGACCATCCTGTTTCCTGGACACCATGTTCTTTGAGGTGATATTCTGTCTCCCACAGGCTGAAAAGCAATGGAGCCAACTAACTATAGACCAAGGCTGTGAGCCAAAATAAATTGCTCTTTTATTTTACTTTTCTCAGTGATTTTCCATAGTGACAGAAAGCTAACACAAAAACTCACATAAGTGAGATTTTTACTTAAAACAAGGATAATTTCATGTGGGTCAATCTATGATTCTTGCTAACTCCTATGTATGTATGCTGTTTTATTATTTAAGATAGAGTCTTGCTGTGTAGCCCCGGGGCTATACTACTATATAAACACACACACACACACACACACACACACACACACACACACACACACACACACACACATCAAACACAATAATACTGGTTAACTAATAAGGAAAGGTGAGAGACTCCAAGACTCCAAGAAGTAGTATTATTTGCACATGACCTTTGGAATAAAGAAGCTTTTGTAAGCAGAGATGGATGAACATTTCACACAATGTTCAAAAGCACAAAGAAAGAAGATTCAAGGTGGTCAACAATTGTTGGTAGGTCACAGGCCAGGACGTGGTCAGGGCACATATGTGGAGGGTGTGCAGGGTGTAGGAGTGTGAGATGGTGGAGAAAAGGGTTCCAGGTGTGAGGAAAGCAGAGTCCGGACATAAATATCACCCAAAGGGCAGCGGGATGTCCCTGAAGAGATTTGGCAAAGGAGCTGCATGGTCATATCGGCATGTTAGGAAGTTCATTTTAATAATAGTATAGAAAATAGTTGGCATCAGAAAAAACTTTATATTATTATTATTTTAGTAATCAAGAATAGTGAAGTAAAGTAAATAGAAATGAGGACAAAGAACAGTAATTAAAGATATGCTTAAGAGGCATACCACAGAACAAGGAAGTAGAGCAAGAAAGAAAGAAATCAAGGGTGATTTTCAAATGTTGCTACAATTAAAGTATAATATTAGGTAGATGAATACGGAGGAGATGCCACTTCAGACCCACTTGAATAGCAAATCACAATAGTGCCAACATCAAGTTCTGACAAGGAAACAGAGAAACCAGGACCCTCACTCACTGCTGGCGAGCTACAACATAGTACGTCTGCTTTGGAAAATACTTTGAGAGGTCCTGAAAAAGTTAAGCATACGGGCTGGGAATGCATCTCAGGGACAGAGTGCTTCCCTAGCATGTGCAAGGCCAGAGAACCAATTCCCAGGGCCACAGGGGGGAAAAGTTAAGCATAAATTTAGCATATGAAAGAAATGAAAGCATGGGTCTACACCAAGAGCTTTACACAAATATTTAAAATGGCTTCATTCTTGCTGTCATCAAACTAGAAACAATTCACATGTCCATCAACTGGCAAAAGGATAAGCAAATAGTGGGTGTGACCATACAATGGATATTGTTTGAAAACAATGAGGAATTTAATAGTCATGTATTAGTTAAGACATGGATGAACTTCAAAACATGCTAAGTGAATTACAGAAGAGAACACCTATGATTTTACTTATGTGAAATTTATAGAAAAGGCAAACCTGTAGAAATGAGGGTAAGGTAACGGCTGCCTGGGCCTCAAGCTGGAACTATAAGTTACAGGTCAATATGAGAAATCTTCTCAGAGAGTCAAAATTGTTACAAAACTGGATTATGGAAATGGCTATACAACTCTGTAAATGTAAAAATGTCACAGAATGGTATGTGTAAATTTACTGTTGAAAACAAAATATAGACATATATTCCATGAGTAACATAATGATTTCTATTTGAGACACTATAGTGGTTTGAAAATAAATGGCCCCCATAGAGCAGCATTATTGGAGACATGGCCTTGTTGGAGGAAGTGTGTTATGGGGAGAAGAGACGGGGGACTTTGAGGTTTCAAAAGCTCAAGCCAGGCCTAGTGGCTCATGGTCTCTTCCTGCTGCCTATGAATCCAGATGTAGAACTCTCATCTACCTCTCTAGAACCACGTCTGCCTGCATGCTGCCATGCTTCCCACCATGATGATAAAGGACTAAACCTCTGAAACTGTAAGCCAGCTCCAATGAATGTTTTCCTTTATAAGAGTTGCCATGGTCATGGTGGTTCTTCACAGCAAAAAACAAAAAACAAAAACAACAAAAAATCCCTAAGACAGACATATTAAGTTTTTAAAAGATTTCTATTTATGTATATATATACGCATCTGTGAGAGATTATGCCATGTGTGAAAAAGTAC